GTCAAATTATGTGGTTTTTATTAATTTTATTTAAATTGAATTGTAATGCATATTGAAAATTGGAAGTATTATTCTACACGCATGTGTATTGAAATCTAATTTGAATAACAATGTCATTGATGGTTTGTGCTGTGACATCTGACTTGAGGCAAATCTCCACCACTACTGAATTGGTAGACCTGTCATTGATTGGTCAGGTGTTGACTTTCTTTAACATAGAAAGTATAGGAAGTTGACCATCACTGGCCAGCTCTGCCGAGTAGCTTGTTAGGAAACCAAGTTATCAAATGGCAACCAGAGCAAATATGGTGTTTAAAATTTTGTTCATAAATTAAATTGTTCATAACCTGAGGTTTGACTGTTTACCAAAATAAATGAATAGAAGTAATAAACTGTCTTCTTAGTGTTAAGATATGAAACAAAGATGATGAGTTTTAAAAACAAATATATTTGCATACTTTTGATAATGATAATCTTATTCTTTATGTTTTTTTTTTACTTATGTTCATTTAATTTAGTATGTGTTTCATTATACTGCATTTTAACTATGGAAACTGCATGACATTTCTTTTATCAGTTACTTCTTAATAAGAAAAGTGGATAAGAGTCAAATTACAGTGGATTTTCTGCTAAAATATAAACACACTGATATCATTTCCACTAAGATTTCATATTATGTTGTAAATTTTAAAAACTATTTGTTCTATTTCATTTGTGCTGTTTTTATTTGAAGATGGTTATGTATTACCATCAAAAGTACTTGTAAATATATTTGTTTTTTAATTAAACTTGTTCTAAAAAACTAAATGTTCACACCAAGAAGACAGTTTTTACATGTTTACTAATTAATAAACTTAATACAATAATTATTTAATAGTTATTTTAAAATGTAATTTGAATTTTATTACCTTATAATACTAATTTTTAATTAAAAAAAATAATTGTTTTAGTTTACTAATATTTTTGATTAATTCCCAATAAATTTTATATTGTAAAACTAGTATATTTTCTGTATTTGTTTTACTGTTACTGAACTACTTTGGAGAATATTATTAGCCATAATAATAGTTTATCAAAAATGTAGGATTGTGAATTAATTGAATTTAATATGGTATAATAATATGAAAGAAAACACATTTCTTGTACTGTTGAAATTAAAACTGAGCAAATTTTATTAAAACTTTTTCAATAAATATCAATGAAACTTATTATAATATTTAGATAATTATAGAAGACTTAAGAATTAACAGTACTGTACATATATTTTTCTTTAAACTTTTTGGTTTGTGATAAATTGGATATCTGGAATTTGTAATCCTTACAGTTTATGGTAAAGATTCTCTTATTTTTCTGTTGGATTATTTATCAGGCTGTAATAATGTTAATTTAATGATTAGAAAGAAATGTAAATTTAGAATATTCTGGAAAAATGTTTGTTATTAAATCAAGTACATAAAATATTGCAATAGAAGAACAATATATCTACTTGTAAAGAAAATCATTTAGATTAATTCTTTATTTAAATTTAGAATATTTGAATCATATACTGTAGAATTTAATAATTTTCTGGAATTTTGTGATTCTGTATATTATTACTGCTTTTAATAAGGCTATCCTAAAAATACATATATCATTTGTTTTTTTCTTATCTTATAAGCAAAAATAATAAATATGAATTTCTTCAAAATAAAATTTTCTTTCCTTTTATTTCCTTTTATAATGTCCTTTTATTTTTCTATTGTTTCATGATAAGATTAATACTTTTTTGTTTTATCATTTGACATTTTTAATTGTAAATTATTAGATTTATAGTCCATTGATGAATTTATATGGCCTTATTTTAGAGGTTAATTTCCTTTTGATTTAATCTACTAAATGTATTTAATGGTTCATTTCTTTTTCCTGTTCTATTTTATGATAAATGATAGAAATAAAATTGTTGACTGATAACATTTTTAAAATTCTTTATTTTAAAAATAGTATTAAGCTGTTTTTATTTTTTTCTGAAGTTCTCTAATTCAGAGAGTCAAAAATGTATTAATTGAAATAATTACAAATTTTGATTCTATAGAGTATAAAAGTTTAATTATTTATCTCTAAACCTATAACCGATGTGAAAGAATTTCAATCGCAAACGTTTTCGGACACCGTTTAGAAGGCGGAAGGAAAAAGGGCGCGTGTTATCTCCCACCTATGACACGCTAAAACAAATTTATTCGAAAATTACGTAATTCTATCGTACGAATAAAAGATCGTTACGTGGATACTGAGATTTCGGTTTGAAAAAGCGCGTGATGCCCAACGGAACTCGAAATAAGAACATTTTTGAAAGGCGTTCCAAAGACAACGGGCAGTAACGATGTGTTACGAATAGAACATTGCCTGAAGAAGGATACAGTGGTGTCCGAAAACGTTTGCGATTGAAATTCTTTCACATCGGTTATAGGTTTAGAGATAAGTTATTTTTATATTGTTCCGGTGTGCGTTAGTTGTTTATTTATATGTAGTGAGTTTAATTATTGTTTTAGGTTTAAAATATTTTAATTTTTTGATTGATGTAATGTATTAAATAATTATGATTTAAATAATTTAAAAATCTATAAATTGAATTTAATATAAAGTTGTTTAAAAATAAAAATAAAAAATATAAAAATTAAAAATATTTTTATATAATTGAAAATCAGTAATTAAAATATTGAATAAATATTTTTGCTTTTCTTGAAATTCATTATTCTCCATGAGGGTAGTTCAATGGTTCAGATTACTGAGATTTCAAAATACAGTGATCTTTCAATTATATGACTTTAAAGGGAACAATGATAAAAGTTTTATAAGTGAGAGAGTTGTACAAAAGAGAGATTGACCAATTTGAATGAAAAATGTTAAAAATACAACTGTTTCTCTTTCAATATTGATTACCACAGTTAAAAGCCTTGTATTTCAAATTTAAAAGAAACAATGAAGTTAAATTTGGCAACAGTGTACCTATGTCACCTAGAAACTAATGTTCATGTCCAAGTTTTTCTGCAAAAGCAGGCCTGTGGGGCTGAAGTACAGTACTATATTTTTCTTTGTTAAAATCTCCACAGGTTTTAAACCAGAAGTATGGATTTTGGAAATTCATCCAAAAGTGACTTTGACATAGGTAGATAGAATACATGTCGGGGGTGGCCAATTTGTCAAAATTTGGAAATTATGCTTGACCCATAAATAATCTTGGCCCACGGCAAAATTTAAACAAATATTTTTGGTCAGTACATGCCTGGAAACTGCTTTATGGAAATACAATGCATTGTCTGGACATACATAACAATGGCTGCTAAAGAGGTAATTACTCGTTGAGTATGGATTCATTACTAATCTGAAATTGTTTGTCATATAAGTGAGAATTTTCAATTTTAATTCTGAAATTATAAAAATATCATTTTAACGATTAGGTATTACTGTATACCTAATCGTTAAAATGAACTTACGCGATAATCGTGTAAGTCGAATTTGCGTAAGTCGGGGTATAATTTCGCAATTTGTGTAAAATCCAAGTCGGATGTATGTAAGCTAATAAATGTTCTCATTAATCTTGTCTTTTGATTCGTTCACGGTTACAAGAAATCATCACAGAGTCTCTCAAGGCTCCGTAGATATAACAAACACAGAAATCAATAACACAAAATAAATTGTAGCTATGTGTCGATTCCGCATGACACGTCCGAACATGTAAGCCGAACAATAGTGTGGATGGAGTGATAATCGAGTGTGGCGTTCAAACAAAAGACAAATCGACGAGATTTGAAAATCGCTTAACTCCGGGTTCGCGTAAGTCGAGGTATTACTGTATTTCTGTTTTTGCCCTCGGCAGCTAATGATTTTTAAGTTAGTGTATTTATTTCAAATTTTTCGTTCGTATTTCTGCCTCCGTTTTGGAAATATTGTAAAATAGGACTTTTCCTTCCCTCTGTGTTCATCCTTGTCACTTTAGTTCTGTTTTATGTCAAGCATATTATTTTGTCGAAATATTTTTATATAGTAACAATTCATAAAAAAATAATGTGTTTGTTAAAAGAAAAATAAACTTTTATGATTACAAAAGTCAGTCTATTATTATTGTACTTTGAAACCATAATTTTATTACAGTATATTTTAAGTAATAGAGAGGTTGAGGCAGACGTTTTAAACGTGTAAACGTGTACGTCGGACGTTCGGCGCCGCTTTCCCGTCAGCCTAAAAGTTTGACAATGGTGTTTGGATAGTCGGTGGAATCACGCTCGACATTCCAAACACCATCGTCAAACTTCTAGGCTTACGGGAAAGCGGCACCGAACGTCCGTCCTACACGTTTACACGTTTAAAACGTCTGCCTCAATCTCTCTAATGTGTGAACTGTTAACACACATTTAGATGTAAATTTTCCCGTTTAATTAAGGTAATGACGATGTCGAAGAATTAGCTTTGTAATGTACAGTACATTATTAATTAATTTTTCTTGTTTGTTTTATTAATTAACGAATGTAACTATTACGCTTATCAACTCGGTATTCAAGTTTTTATTATGAAGTATTGTGAATGACACAATTTATTCACAATACTTCTGTAAAGATTTGGAATGAAATTTTTATCTAATTAAAACTTTAAAAATTGTATTTGATTACACGCTTTTATTTCGTTAACGTTAAGTTATTTATATACAGTGTATATATATATATATATATGTACTGTATCATATTGATATGTACTGTACTGTACAGACGTACTGCATTGCATTGTAATGAGAACGGTTCTTGTTTGTTTTTATCGTGCATTTTTATTTTTCATTTCATTGAATTTTAAGCATAATTTTTGAAAAAGAAATGCTCTTTTTTGTTAGTTTAAAAAAAAAAAAACTAAATGTGCATTGTGTGCGTTAAGATAATAGATATGCACTTTTAAATAATATATTATAGTAATTGTATTTATTAATAAGATCGTTTTGATTGGAGTGTTCTTTCTGACGAAATTTATGCACGGTTTTTATCGTGGACAATCGTTAGCATTGTTTTATCTGAATCACGTGATAACTCCGGGGTATGACTGACTTCCTGTTTCGTGTGTAAACCTACTGTCTGTTTTGATGGTTTACTCTCATCATAGAAGATAATTTGTGATTCAGTTAAAACATCCATTCTTCATTTACCATAGTGCTAGAGACACAGTAAATGAATTATTGCTGTTCGTAAATATAAATTTTGTGAACATACTATGCATGTTTGTGGGTTAACTTATAACCTTTCGTCCTAATTTTTAAACAAGAATTAATAACTAGCAGGTGAGTTAACGGTGGTGAATATATATATGTTTTAAATACTATAAACAAGTATTAATTATAATAAACGATAAAACAAAATCCACCTGGTGTTTTGATTTAAATACTTGGTCAAGTAATTGGAGTCAAGGTCGTATCAACACGTGCCATACATCCTCCCTTCTGGAGCCGTACCTTCCGTAGTTGTTTGTGACAGATATTCGTTATAACTAAAATATTTTGTAAAAATAGATTCCTTGAAAATAAAGTAAGTAATGATTAAAATATGATTGATGTTATCACTTCCTTAGAAATCGATATTTCTAACAATAACAATAATGTAATTATGGATGTAAGGTTTATTTATAGTTAATATTTAAAAGAGTCATTTTTAATTAAAATATGGTAGATAATACATAAAATCTTAATAATACCGAACTAGTTTAATAAAATTTTACACAAATAATTGTTTTAGTCCACAGAACTATAATATAAGCAAGCGTTATTTAAACAGATTTATAAATACAGTATTTATGCTTCCTGTTTGTTTCATTCATACGGGAATATTTATAAATTGTAATTAAATATATTAAGAAAAGTATTTTAATGTAACGTAAATGTATTATTATAAAATAGTTTATACATTGTCATTATGAATATATTTGATAGAAATATAATTAAAAATAATATATGATAAATAGTTAAAATTTTTATTGAGAGTGAACACAATATTTCTAAGATTTTTTTGTAATTATTTAAATAGTAATAATTAAATCAAATTTATTAGCAAAAGGGAAAGATTTCCCTGTTACAGGGGGTGATACATAAAAATGAAATTAATTAACAACTTTAGTTTACAAAAGTATTATATTGATAATAAAACAATCATAATTTAACAGAACTGCATAGTCATTATGCCTTATATCTTATAGACATGAACAGAATAAGTAAAAAATACCATAATAGGATATTTAAGTTTTATAATGATTTTTATTTATTAATAACATTTATTTAATTTTTTAAAACTTTTTCTGTGATTTTAACAAAGTGATTATAAATTTTATATAGATCCTTTTTTATTGAGAAAGTTTAAATTTATTTTGAGTTCAAGAGGTGATTACAGTTAAATATTCGTATGATTTCATATTGTTCATGCAAAGTTCTAAGTTCTTGACAGTTTTTTAGAAAGTGGAATGCTGATAAGTCTTCGGACTGACATAAGTAGCAATGGGTATTTGAAAAGTTTATGTAGGTATTATTAACAAAGAGAGAATATTTGTTAAGGCGTAGATGGATTATTAGTCATTTCACGTTCAAATCAATTGGTTGCCACATATGTGGCTGAGAAGATGGGATTTCTAATAAGTTGGTGTACCAGGGATGATAATTACTATGGTTTAAAGAGATCTGATCTTTATTTATTGATTGAGATATGGCAGAGTTTAATAGACGAGTATAACTGTATTTCCAATCCTGAATGATATCTTTAAATAATATGTCAAATGAGTTCAAAGTTTTACATAATTTGTATTTCCAAAGCTGCTTGTAATTTACGTTTTTGCTCTCCTTGATTATTTCTTGATGTAAGAAAGTTATATTATTGTCAATTTTGAATTCGAGTATATAATAAAATTTAATTATACATTTTAATAGCAGGGGAAATGACCAGATACGATTTGTTTCATGTTGGAGAGCATAACCAGAAATTGTTCTTTCTAGATGGAATAATTTACGTAGGAATAGACATGAAAGGAGTCGAGTTTATATAAATAATCCAGACTCCAGATAGGGCTTGCATAGTAAATAATAGGGTTGATTATAGAATTGTATAGTTTCATATGGATATTCAAATTAGAGGTTTTCAGGGTTGAGCATAGAAATAGAAGATTATCGATAGCCTGCTTTACTTTGATGTTAATTCTTGAGATTTGAGCTTAAGGTTACATTTCAGTCAAAGACGACACCCAGATAGTTTACTTCATTAACTGTTTGTAATACAGTATTGTCATGGTATATTTTAGTTTCTTTTTCAGATATTTTGCTATTATTACGAAAAATAATAATGTTGTTTTTAGCCGGATTTATTACTAAGTGAATTGGTTTAATATAAAGATTTAGCTGGTTAATTTTTCTTTGTAATGAGATTTTGGTGGATGCTAGTATTACTAAATCATCTGTGAATAATATGTAGGGAAAGATTCTGTTGTTTATTTCAATGCCATCAGTTGAATTATAGAAATGTTGATCAATGCCGAGCAAATAGAAGTTAAATAAATATGGTGAAAGGGGATCACCTTGAAGAACACCACAAGAAAGAGTTAGTGAGGGAGAAAGAATCTTGCCTTGTTTTATCTTTATGTTATAATTTGAGAAGAGCTTTTTTATAGTAGTTGAGAATTGGGTACTTGCACCGCAGGCTCTTAAGTTATTTACTAGTAGTGATATATAGATTGAATCAAAAGCTTTTTGTATATTGATGAAAGCAGCATATACTTTTCTGGTTTTTTAATAGATGAAGTTGTATTATCATTAGTAATATGAATATTACTGATTCAGTTCCTTTATTTTTAGTAAAAGCATATTGAAATTTGGCTTCCAGATCGGTATCTTCAGTCCATTGTTGAAATTTTTTTGCCAGTATTGAAGTGAAGCATTTTCTTAAAGTTGATAGTAATGCTATTGGGCTATAATTATTAGGGGAAAGCTGATCACTCTTTTTATGGACCATGGTAAGGATAACTGTATTCCAAGAGTCTTGGTAAGAGGTGGCTTTGTACATGGTGTTAAAGATTTAACAGTTTTAACCTGGCTTTATTTGGAAGCATTTTTAGAAATTTGGAAATTGAATTAATTTTTGTTTTCTGTATTGCCTGTTCTGTATTTCTGTGTAATTTGTTTTCTGTATTAGATCAGAATCTAAGTATACATTATAAGCATAGTGTTTATTATTGGAAGTATATTTGAATGAATTTTTGGGAATCTTTGATAGAAATGTTTCTAAGTATCGAAGTCCATGATTGGTGATTTTTTAGTTAGGTTTGATTTAAAATGGAATCTTCTTATTGTAGACCAGAATAATTTACTGTCTTTACTGTTTTTTATTAAATTTGATTTGAGTTTCCTGAAGTAGTTTTTCTTTTTTGTCTTGAGTAAGTTGTTGTAGGATTGTTTGGCTTTCTTATAATTATCAAAGTTGGTATCATTAGAGTTTAGTCTGAAGATTTTTAGTTTAGATTGCTTTTCCATTTTCATTTTGTGACAATCAGAATCATACCAGATTTGTCAGAATTTATTATGAAAGTTTCTTTTTTTATTATTATTGTATATACAGGTAACCCCCGTATAACACGGCACTTCTATAGCACAGATTCACTCTAACATGGTTCGGGAATTGGGTAAAACCCTCGTACAACATGAAATATAATAAAGGGTGTGTTCTTTTATACTTCCGTGTAACTCCGCGCGAGCATTTTAATTGTTTTTGTGAATACTTTGAATGCTCTTTCAACAATAATCCATTTAATGGTTAAATTTTACAATTGGGACCCTTCTTTTGCCTCTAAAAGCTCATTTTAGAATTATAGATTCCTCCATTATGATACTATCAATAGTGCAGGCGCTGCCATCTTTCTTTCACCATTGTTTATAAATGCCTACAAACAGCAGCACACTCCCGTTGCAGAGCGACCGCTATTAACGAACGCACCCAAAAACTGTTAGCAGTTGATGATGCTCATGCTGAGATCATCATATAGGATGAATAATTCTCTGGTAAAATATTTACTTAAATAATAAATAAGTATGAAAAAAACATATGAAACTATAAACCTATAAGTATAAACCTATGAAAAAAATGAATAATAAATCTGATTTAAATAAGGAGTTAACAGTATGTTTTTTAATTTTTGGAGCCTAACCCCCCTTTTCGCACTAGTTCTTTGTTTTGTATAACACGGATTCGCATAAATCATGGCAATTTTTTGGAATGTGACTCCCATGTTATACAGGGGTTACCTGTATAATCATTCATTATATTTGTTATTAATTTATAAATTTCTCCACTATTGTTTTCTGTTATTATTGGAATTTCAGTAAATTGATCTTCAATTTCTGTTGACTATCTTGAGGTTTTGTACTTTATTCTTTGACTTTTAATTGATAAGTTGTCTGATTTCTTAGGCGGAAATAGTAAAAATTTTCCTATTGTAGGTAGATGATAAGAGATGTCAAAAGTAATTATGGTGAAGTCCGGACAGCAATCCAGTAGTAAGTCTGAGCAGATTGTATAATCGATAGTGGCTTTTCCGGCATATGTTAAACAGGTATATTCTGCAGGAATATCAGGTTTGATATGTTCATTTATTATATACATTTTAAGATTGTTATTATTTCTATTAGTTTTTTTATCCATTCTATTAATTAAGCTGTTTGTCTTTTGACTGACAAGTATTTTGTATTAAAGAATTAGGTCCATCATATCTAGAGTCCATTGTTTCACCAATTCTTGAATTAAAATCTCTTAGTATAATAGAGTATGGAGTCATATGTCGCCAAATGTTAATTAGTTTGGAGGCTTCATTTAGATTTGTTAAATCATCAGGAGGGATATAGATAAGCATTAAGGTCATTAATTTATTAGTTATATTTGTAAGAATAGGTTTGTTGAATGAAATAAGAAGCAGGACATAGTTGTCAGATTTTTTTGTTTGTATTATTTTACAAGAATCTTATGTTTATTAATATACAGAGACCACTGCTCAGACGACCTGGGCCCATTGGTTTATATGCCATTACTGATTCAATTATAAATTTATAAAAAAAAAATTGACTTATAAGGCAGTTCAGAGGTTATCCAAGTTTGTTATAGCAAAGATATCGGGTTCATGCTTGGAGTAAAAAGAGTTGATTAGTGGAATTTTATTTTTAAGCCCTTGGCTATTCCAGTTGATATTAGTTAATAATTGGTTGTTCAAGTAAGTTATATTGTATTGAATTTTTCTTTGCTTCTTAGTATATCAACTTGT